ATCCACTTTATAATCAACTTATCCCCTGATACATGTGGCATCTAAAATCAGGTAATGGTAGAATAATTATCGTGCATTTTATTTAACTTGGGCAAAACAATGGATGGCAGACGCAAATATAAGAAGATACCAAGGTTTAAGTACTTACTACAGTAAATAAATTGATTGAGATCAAGAGTCACCCTGCCTTGCTTGCTTGTATCAAATGAATTGAACAGATTCCTACAAGAGATAAAATAAAACTAAACAATCCATCAGGGAAGAAGTAGCAGCAAAATATAACCTGGTTGCACCTTCATCACAAAGTGAATGTATCCCAAGCCAATATTATATAGAAGCTATGATTAAAGTGAATAAACCACTGAAGAAATAGTGACAATAAGATTCATGTGTCGACACATACGGCATGGTGCTAGAACCTTGTTCAGAGATGTTTTTGCCAGTATTGACCCCAATTTGGATGCTTCTATCATATAGTGACCAAAGATAATAGAAAAAATCAATCAGGTCAGATCATCTGTCAAGTAGCATTTTGAGAAATAATGACAACCAAAGATACTTATATATTATTCAATTCAATAAAACATTCTAAACTACTCTTCATGAGGTTCTCATATTGAACACAAGATACAAAGAACTTCACAGAAACTGGGTACGTTGTTGTTGTGTTAGCAAGTGCGTGTAGCTAGTAGATGCAACCAAGAAGACAATGATCTATCGAGTAAGTTATCAAATTGTTTTAAGACCATCATGTAAAGAAAATTTCATTCTATCAGCCTTAATGCATCATACATCCCAACTGAGAAATGCAGCAAGAGAGATGGCACTTCTGAAGGTTCATAGATTTACTGACCTTGATGATTGTACAAATATACAAAGAGATATAAAATCGTCAAGTCTGAGCTTTCCACATCTCGTTTGATCAAAACTCTGCATGATAATCAAAATAAACACTACTAATTTGGATCGTGCATTATAAAATTATGTTGTATATGGCCTATCTCTAACCGTAAGAAAGATCATCTTATTTTATTTACCTCACAAACAGTATAAAAAGCTGGAGAGTCAAGAGAGAATTCAAGTTTCACCAGCGCCTATAGTCATTGTATAAAATTGAAAAATAATTAAAGGATGAAAAGTAATATAGATAAAGAAATAGGAAGTGTTGCCAAAGTCCTGGTAAAGAAAGGGTCTTACAACTGCCACAATTTCAACGTCATAGCTAATTATGGTCCCAAAAGTTGATAAATATGAAAAAATGAACAGTCTGCCCATGCAGTTTATGTACCTTGTAAACTTCATCAGGAACAAGAAATCCACGTCCCCTGCGGCAGTATACAAAATAACAAATACAATTACAGTCCTCTCTACTAGTTACAACCACAAATATTTGTAATCAACAATGTAACACCGATAAGATGTGACGACCAGATATTAAGTTCAATAACTTCAAAAGATTAACATATGGCATTGAGGCGCATTCAATTCTTTAATTGCAAAGCCTCTCAAATTGGAAAAAATATTCCCCGTGCAATGTAAGAATGAGTTTAACTGAATATACGGTGCAGCGATTAGGATGGGAAGATGACTGATTCATGGGGATGCCGATTGCTAACAACATATGGGTCAATGAAAATCAAAGTTTTCTCAAGGGAAACGCATTTTTTCTATCAGGGGTAATGCTTAAGCAACAACCAACACGAGGTGGAAAACAAATATAAAAAGAATGGATGAAATGGTTCCAGCACATTCTCAGCACAATGAAGCATGCACTACAAACTCCACTTATTTCAAAATGTTTTAATTTAAGAAGATAGCTACATCTTATTTAATTTGCAGTGCATTTCAGAAATGTGAAATTTTCATGAGAAATTATAGACAGTGAAAAACAATCAAGAAATTGTGTCAAAAACAGCATTATCCAAGTTCTTCAGTAAATCACCTCTCCAAGTCCGAGAATGCTTGTTGAACCTGCAAGGAAATCAAATGTCAAAACTCGATATTGCAGGAAAAAAAAAAA